AGCCTCCTGAGTAGCTGGGATTACAGGCACGCGCCACCATGCCCAGCTAATTTTTTGTATTTTTAGTAGAGACGGGGTTTCACCATGTTGACCAGGATGGTCTTGATCTCTTGACCTTGTGATCCACCCGCCTTGGCCTCCCAAAGTGCTGGGATTACAGGCTTGAGCCACCGCGCCCGGCCATAAAGGTCTTTTTTATAGGCAGTTTGTGAGTAACGTTCACAATTACTGTGTCTCTTAAGTTTTTTTCGTCTCTTTTTAAGTAAACTTTACAGAAAAAAACCACATGAAATTACACCAATCATAAATATACAGCATTATAAATTTTAATATACTGATAAATTCTATGTAACAGCACCAAGATCAGGAAACAACATCATTAATTCTTTTCATATTCTCTTTAGTCCTCTCACTACAAGAGGATCTTGACCTCTAACACCATTAAATTAAGTTGTTTCTATAGAAATGGGATCCTGTAGTATGTACCCTTATAGTTTAGTTTGTTCAGTATATTTTAAGGATTTATCCATTATTTTTATGATTCTGTAACTTTATTCTATTGTATGAATATGTGTAGTTTATCCATTGTACTCTTGATGGACATTTGGGTTTTTTGCAGGTTTTTGCTATTATATATGTGTGGTTATGAACTTTCTTATACTTGTTTTTTAGTGAATTCAAGGTCATACAATCTATAACAGTTCCCTTTCTTTTGTCTTGCCAATTACTCATGGAAAAATTGGATCATTTCTCCTATTAAAAATTCTGAGGCCAGGTGCGGTGGCTCACCCCTGTAATCCTAGCACTTTAGGAGGCCGAGGCGCATGAATCGCCTGAGGTCAGCAGTTCAAGACCAGCCTGTCCAACATGGTGAAACCGTGTCTCTACTAAAAGTGCAAAAATTAGCTGGGTTTGGTGGCGGGCACCTGTAATCCCAGCTACTTGAGAGGCTGAGGCAGGAGAATTGCTTGAATCTGGTAGGTGGAGGTTGCAGTGAACCAAGCCTCAAGAAAAAAAAGTTATGAACTTTTTCATAGCACTGTTGTAGTAGCAGCTGTTATATTTGTTAATATGCAACCTTGAGTCAAAATTCTTCTGTCATCTCAAAAAGTATATAATTCAAATAATTTTTAGTGATTTTCCCCCTTTTAAAATCTGTCTATATCTGACTTTTTAACTGTTGCATTTGTTACTTTTATAATAATAGTCAACATTTTAGAAAAAAATAATTTTATGTAATATGTTACTATTTTGATTGCTTTTAATTTTGTAACTATGTATTATGTGTTTTAAGTGAAAGTAAATGCTGATAAGCTCCTTTGTATGTTTCCTTGAATAGGTTTGATATTAAACTGCTATCAGAATTTTCCACTTGCCTAGCACAGCAGCGTTTATATTTTAGTCCTTTAATGGGAAAAATAGCTGATATTGTTCATAGGAACTTGGAAACCACACAGGACTTAAGGTAAATTTATTTAGGAAATCTTGTATTGTGGTGGAAGGATCCTACACTTTGGATGTGGATGCAATCAGATTTGCCACTCTTAGTTTGTGTGACTTAAGGCTAATTTACTTAAGCTCTTGGAAGTTCATTATCCTCATCTGCAAAAGAGGTATAGTAATAGCTACTTTGCACTGTTGCTGTGGGGATTAGACATAAAGTACATAAAGTGTGATACAACATTGTTGAGGTCTGTGGAGGATCTGAGATTTTACCTAATTTGCAAGCTAAGTTTGTTTGCCACATTTTGATAGGTGCTGGAAGAAGGCCTGAGACTCCTAGGTCAGAGACAGAGGACTTTGTTTTTTATAGCAATAGCAGTAGCAGAGTACCAGCATTTTCTTATGTTGATTCCTTGAGCTCTTGTCCTACAATGAGTTGTGTTCCAGGAGAGGAACTCTGAGCTTAGGAAACCTGAATCTTTTATAATAATGCATGCCTACTCTACTCCAACAGGAGACATTATCTCTATTCTCCTAGGCTGTTTGCTACATAAACATCCTTGAAAAGATAGTTCTGAACAAAGGCAGTCAGAAAACCATAGAAAATGGTCTCTAAGTATCGAGAACAGAAATTTCTCAGTAATGGATGGTAGATGTTATTATATCATGAAGTAAACCCAAGAAGTATTTAAGTATGAATTTACTGGCCAGGCATGGTGGCTCAAACCTGTAATCTAAGCACTTTGGGAAGCCAAAGTGGGTTGATCACTTGAGGTCAGGAGTTCGAGACCAGACTGGCCAACATAGTGAAAACCCTGTCTCTACAAAAAAAAATAAAAAATTATCTGAGTGTGGTGGTGGGTGCCTGTAAGCTTAGCTACTCAGGAGGCTGAGGCACAATAATTGCTTTCCAAAAAAATAAAAGAATAGAAAGAAAGATGTTTGTTACTCAAAGGCAAATAGAACAAGCAACAACAATAAAAAAGAATCGCTTGAACCTGGGAGACAGAGATTGCAGTGAGGTGAGATTGTGCCACTGTACTCCAGCCTGGGCAAGAGAGTGAGACTCCATCTCAAATACATAAATAAATAAATAAATAAATAATAAGTAAATTAAGTGTGAGTTCACAAATTTTATATGCATTTATGTCTTTCTTATTCTTTCCATCTGGGAATACTTTCTTTTCAGCTTCATAAAGCAGACTTAATAATTACCTTTGCTGAATGTCGAGGAACTATTAATTTGAAAGTAACATTTGAGGAGTTTCTCTGGTTTTCCCATCAGTGGTTTGTGGGTTTATTTTTAATGTAAGATTACTTACTGTCAATGCTAACCTTCATAACCCAGTACAGTACTATGATTATCTTTGGTGTTGCAGATACCGCTTTTTCTACCTTGTTTACAAAGTGACTAGCAGTTTGGTAAAATTAAATTATAGTAGTTTCCTGTATTTCTTGTCCCACTCCACCCTATCTCCCTGCCTTTTTTTTTTTTTTTTTTTTTGAGATGGAGTCTTCCTCTGTTGTCCCAGCTGGAGTGCAGTGACACAAACTCTGCCTCCTGAATTCAAGCGATTTTCATGCCCCAGCCTCCCAAGGCATGAATTACAGGTGCCCACCATGATGCCCCACTAATTTTTTGTATTTTCAGTAGAGATGGGGTTTCACCATTTTGACTAGGCTGGTCTCAAACTCTTGACCTCAAGTGATATCCACCTACTTCAGCCTCCCAAAGTGCTGGGATTACAGGCATGAGCCACCATGCCCAGCCCCCTGCCTTTAAAAAAAAAAATACCTATGCGGCCGAGGGCAGTGGCTCACACCTGTAGTCCTAGCACTTTGGGAGGCTGAGGCGGGTAGATCACTTAAGGTCAGGAGTTCGAGACCAGCCTGGCCAACATGGTGAAACGCTGTCTCTACTAAAAATACAAAAATTAGCTGGGTGTGGTGGGAGGTGCCTGTAATCCTAGCTACTCTGGAGGCTGAGGCAGGCGAATCACTTGAACCCAGGAAGCAGAGGTTGCAGTGAGCTGAAATCATGCCATTGCACTCCAGCCTGGGTGACAAGAGCAAGACTCCATCTTTATAAATAAATAAATAAATAAATAAATAAAATATGCATGTGCATATATATATGAGTACGTGTGTGTGTGTGTATATGTATTTTATATATATATATGTATATGCGCTAGCCCCTGGCTGCCTAATATTCTCACCTGAGGGTGGTTTTATTTTTTCAATCACAAACACTTTTTAAGATACTTCTGGATAAACACACTAATAATGCAGGAAGATTGCTATTTTTTTTAAAGTAAGGCTTTATTAATATGTGATATTACAAAACTTAAAGGTACAGTTACATCAGTTGTGACAAATATATACCCACATCAAGATCAAGGTAGGGAATAGTTGCATGACCTAAGAAGGTTCCCTCATGTTCCTTCTCAGTCAGTTCAACCCCCCTACTATGTCAGCAACTAGTATTCTAATTTCTTTTTCTCTTTTTAGACGGAATCTTGCTCTGCTGTCCAGGCTGGAGTGCAGTGATACAATCTTGGCTCACTGCAGTTGCCACCTCCTGGGTTCAAGCGATTCTCCTGCCTCAGCCTCCCAAGTAGCTGGGACTACAGGGGCCTGCCACCACACCCAGCTAATTTTTTTTTTCCTTGAGATGGAGTCTCACTCTGTTGCCCAGGCTGCAGTGCAGTGGCACGATCTTAGCTCATTGCAACCTCTGCCTCCGGATTCAAGCAATTCTTGTGTCTCGGCCTCCCCAGTAGCTGGGATTATAGGTACCCACCACCACACCATACTAATTAGTATTTTTTAGTAGAGATGGGGTTTTGCCATGTTGACTAGGCTAGTCTTGAACTCCGGACCTCAGGTGATCCACCGCCCTCAGCCTCCCAAAGTACTGGGATTACAGATGTGAGCCACCGTGCCTGGCCGTCTTTTGCTCATTTTAAAGAATTCTGGGACTGGGTGATGTGACTCATGCCTATAATCCCAGCACTCTGGGAAGCTGAGACAGGAGAATCACTGGCAGCCAGGAGTTCAACCAAGCTGGGCAACATAGTGAGACTCTGTTTCTATAAAAAATAAAACATTGGCAGGGCATGGTGGTGCATGCCTGTAGTCCTAGCTATTTGGGAGCTGAGGCAGGAGGATTGCTTGAGCCTGGGAGATCTAGGCTGCAATGAGCCATGATCATACCACTATACTTTGGCCTAGGTGACAGGATGATAACCTGTCTTAAAAAAAAAAATTGCTGTAAAGTAATTATTTTAGCTTGTTGCTTAAAAATTATTATAGACCACTTTGAGAATCTACACATTAAAAAAAAATCATTTTAGGAGAGTGATGTTTAAATTAAAAAGCAACGTAGGTTAATGTTAATCTTGACATTAAGCGTTGTAACTGGAGAAGCCAAAATATTTACAATTAGAGATTTTTTAAAAAATTAATTTTATTAAAACGATTAGAGAAATTTGGAAACAAAAAATAGCAACAGTCTCACTATCCTAATGGTCGAGATAATTTTTGATTATATTTTTGTCTTTTTTGTAGATTGTTTTCTAATTATCATCCCTAAGTGTTTTTCTTATGTCTTTTCTGTTTTGCATACTTTTCATTAAAAGTGTATTTTTTTTTTGAGACAATGTCTTGCTCTGTTGCCAGGCTGGAGTGCAATGGCATGATCTCAGCTCACTGCAACCTCCACCTCTCGGGTTCAAGGGATTCTCCTGCCTTAGCCTCTGAAGTAGCTGGGACTACAGGTGCATACCACCACGTCTGGCTAATTTTTATATTTTTTAGTAGAGACAGGGTTTCACCATATTGGCCAGGACGGTCTTGGTCTCTTGACCTTGTGATCTGCCTGCCTCGGCCTCCCAAAGTGCTGGGTTTATAGGTGTGAGCTACTGCTCCCTGCCTAAAGGTGTATTCTTATATTGTAGTTTTCTGATTTTTATATTATGTAAGAACAGTATTTTGAAAACAAGACCACAACTTAGTAATTTTGTTGTCTTCTGGTGTCTAGGAAAGTGATTTATGCTCCTTAAGTGTTTATTGAGTGAAGAAGTGTTAAATGCTGTCCCATATTCAGTACTGTCTTGCTGGCATATTTTAATATCAATCTAGCATAAAATATTTAAAAATATGAAATTATTCACTAGTGAGAAAAATTATGCCAAGCTTTTATTAGCAAATTATAGACACACAGAGAAAGGGGTAATTAAAAAAGTCTACTTTTAAAAATATGAAATGAAACTTTTAATATTACGTTCATGGGTTGTTGGTCCAAATTGATTTCTGAGTTAAGTTTCACTAAAATATTTTCTACCAAAGTAGTTTTCTCAACAAAACAAGGCATTTGATACTCTCAATGGAAAACATTACTCCCATGCCTTTTGTCCAAAAGGATTTGATTACTAGGAAATCTGAATTCAAGTCCCACTAGTATTTAAAATAAAAATTTTATGGCATGAAACTCATAGTATTCTTACCACTTCCTTTCCACATCTATTTCGTTTTAGAGTTGGTTATTCTTGGCTGGGTGCGGTGGCTCATGCCTGTAATCCCGCACTTTGGGAGGCTGAGGTGGGAGGATTGCTTAAGCCCAGCAGTTCGAGACCAACCCTGGCAACATAGCAAGACTCTGTTTCTACCAAAAAAAAAAAAAACATTAGCTGGGCATGTTGGCTTGGGCTTGTAGTCCCAGTTACTCAGGAAGCTGAGGTGGAGGATAGCTTGAGGCTTGAGCCTGGGAAATGGAGGTTATAGGAGCTGTGGTCATGCCACTGCACTTCAGAGTGGATGACAGAGCAAGACCTTGTCTCAAAAAAAGAAAAAGAAAAAAGAAGGCCGGGCGCGGTGGCTCAAGCCTGTAATCCCAGCACTTTGGGAGGCCGAGGCGGGTGGATCACGAGGTCAAGAGATCAAGACCATCCTGGTCAACATGGTGAAACCCCGTCTCTACTAAAAAAAATACAAAAAATTCAGCTGGGCAAGGTGGCGTGTGCCTGTAATCCCAGCTACTCAGGAGGCTGAGGCAGGAGAATTGCCTGAACCCGGGAGGCGGAGGTTGCGGTGAGCCGAGATCGCGCCATTGCACTCCAGCCTGGGTAACAAGAGCGAAACTCCGTCTCAAAAAAAAAAAAAAAAAAAAAAAAAAAAAAAAAAAAAAAAAAAGAAAAGAATTGATCATTCTTAAATAATGTAAAATCTTTGCATCTTTTTTCTTTTTCAGTTCCTTGTCTGTCTTAATGGTCAACATATCTTCTTTAATATCACGACATTTTCAAGAACAATTGGTGAACAAAACAGAACTTCTTTTTGACACCATGGATTCTTCTGAGGTCGACTTTGCAAAAAGAATAGTACAGTTTCTTCGAAATGTTAGATATCGTTATCAACCACTATTAGAAAGGTGTAATAATGTATTTTTAAGTAATGTGGACCACCTTGATTTGGATTCCATCAGTAAAATACTTAGTCTACACAAATTTCTGCAGTTTAATAGTTTTAAATTTATTATAGTGGCCAAAAAGAAGCTGACTGAAATGATTCCTCTGCTTAATCATCCTGCTAGCTTTGTAAAATTATTTGTTGCATTGGGACCCATTGCAGGACCTGAAGAAAAGAAACAGTAAGTTCAGTTTAAAATGCATTACTTTTTTTTGTTGTGAATTTATGGAGGCTTCAAGCTTAGGTCTCTGCAGCTCTGGAAGTACAGGTATCACCCACTTAGGTTGTGGAAGGGAAAATAATCTCTTACAGTCTGCTCCTTGATTCTTTTTCTGATTATTCTGATTTACATCTCAAACTCTTAGTCTACTGCTGTGTTCTGAAAGGTAAACCTCTGATACTCGGCCAGCATGAAAAAAAAATGAGGGGAAACACCATGTGTTTTTATTCTCCCTTCCTATGCTGTGTGATTGGATTTATACACATAGGATTCCCCACCCAGTGTAAGTCTGTGGAATATTTAGAATTATAATAGTCATAGCAGTGGACCATTTTATGCTTTGTTGTTTTTATCTCATTAATCATCAAAGCTTATTTATTTATTTATTTTTTGAGAGATGGAGTGTCAATCTGTCATCCAGGCTGGAGTGCAGTGTCGCTATCTCGACTCACTGCAACCTCCGCCTCCTGGGTTCAAGTGATTCTCCTTCCTCAGCCTCCCGAGTAGCTCAGATTACAAAGGCGTGTGTCACCAAACCTGGCTAATTTTTTGTATTTTTAGGAGAGATGGGGTTTCACCATGTTAGCCAGGATGGTTTCAATCTACTGACCTCATGATCCACCTGCCTAGGCCTCCCAAAGTGCTGGAAATACAGGCATGAGCCACCACACCCGGCAATCATCAAAGCATTTATTATGCACTCAGTATATGTCCCATGTCAGGTTTGAACAAATTTTATGTGGCATCTCTCATTTAGGAATTTCCAGTTTTGCTAGATACTGACGTAGGTAGAAATTTTTGGGATATAATGATGAACAACTATTAAATTAATATGTAAGTATGGTTAATAGATAAGATTCTCTCTTCCTAGGCCATGTGATGGGATTTATACTAGACATAAACTTCCCCCACCCAGCATAATTGTATGAAATGTTTAGAATGATAAGCTGGGCAGGGTGTAATCCCATCACTTTAAGAGGCCAAGGCAGGTGGATCCTTGGAGCAAAGGAATTTGGGACCAGCCTAGGAAAGATGGTGAAATCTCGCCTGTACAAAAAAATACAAAATTAGCCAGGTGTGGTGGTGCGCACCTGGAGTCCCAGTTACTCATGAGGATCACCTGAGCCCAAGGAGGTTGAAGCTGCTGTGAGCTGAGATCGCTCCATTGAATTCCACCTGGGCACAGAATAAAGACCGTCTCTCCAAAAAATAAAATAAAATAAAGAATTTTATATAATAGTCCTAGCACGTAAGTATGATTAGTAGATTCACTTAAGCAGGGGTTCCAAGAATTGCATAATAGGGGAATCTGTATCATTACTCTGTTAGGGAAAACTTTATGGAGAAAGTTTTATTTTTTAAGAATACTTTGAATTATAGGAAAAAATTTAAGAGCACATCTCTATCAAGATGGAAACAAGGTGATAAGGTGATTATTAAAAAGAACTATTGGGGCCGAGTGCAGTGGCTCACACCTCTAACCCTAGCCCTTTGGCAGGCTGAGGCAGATCACTTGAGGTCAGGAGTTTGAGACCAGCCTGGCCAACATGGTGAAACCCCAACTCTATTAAAAATATAAAAAAAGAGGACTGGGTGTGGTGGCTCATGTCTGTAATCTCAACACTTTCGGAAGTTGAGGCAGGTGGATCACTGAGGTCAGGAGTTCGAGGCCAGCCTGGCCAACATGGTGAAACCCTGTTTTTACTAAAAATACAAAAAGAAGCTGGGTTGGGTGGTGGGTGCCTGTAATCTCAGCTATTCAGGAGGCTGAGGCAGGAGACTTGTTTGAACCTGAGAGGTGGAGGTTGCAGTGAGCCAAGATCACACCATTGCATTCCAGCCTGAGCAACAAAAGCGAAACTCGCATCCCCCCAAAAAAAAAAAAACTTCAAAAAACTGGCCAGGAGTGATGGCAGTTGCAATGGCAGGCATTTGTAATCCCAGCTACTCAGGAGGCTGAGGCAAGTGTATCACTTGAAGCTGGTAGGTTGCAGTGAGCTGAGATTATGCCCCTGTACTCCAGTCTGGGCGACAGAATGAGACTTCATCTCAAAAAAAAAAAAAACAACAACTTTATTGGAACCTTTTTTTGTGACTAAATACTATTAAAATCTCAATGCTAAAGCAGTAAAACAGTTGGATTTAACTGAGTCTCTGCCTTCAACAAATTTATACTGCAGTTGAGAGGATAGATATAATTGAAATATGTAAATACCATAACAACATAGTTTATGAATAAATAAAATTGGTGATATGGATAGTGCTGTGAGCAGACAGAAGTGAGAGAAAAATAGAGACTGAATTGATTGGGAAAAATATGGGGAGAAACAGGGTTTGAAACGTTTGAAAAGGTTGGTGGAAAGGATGGCATAAAATTATCCAGTGTGAATAAACAATTACTTTATCCTATCCTCAGATGTCATGTTTTGAGCTTGCTTTCTAAATGATTCTAAAAGACACACTTATATCATGATACTTACATTACTGCACTACTTTGGATAGCTCAAATGATAACTAGTCATAGTCAAAATGGGCCATCTTTGTTAATTTTCAGTTTATACTGTTATATCAAGTGTTTAGGATATGAGATTTCTGATAATATGTAATTTATTGACTTCCTAGTTGGTTACTATTCAATTTTAAAACATTTGGGAAATTGTCAGAATATCAATTGTTCATTTCTTAGCTCTCTAGTATTGAATAATTTCACTGAATCATAGTATTTTATAACCATTATAACCTTCTATTATTTGAAAATCATTGGAAGATCATTCATCTATATTTTTCAAACAGTTTAAGATTGGATTATACTGAGGCCTGAATTGCATAGAACACATTGTATTTTTCTTTATTCAGTAATATTTTATATTATCTCCAAGAAATGTAGAATACTGGAATTGTATGCTGGATTCAGTTTTTGTTTATATTAATTTTTCCCATTTGTTACCCAATAATTGTTATTTTTTTAAAAAATTGCAGGTTAATTTTCAGTTTTTCAACCAAAAAAAATTTTTTTTTTTTTGCTTCTAGACTTAAATCAACTATGTTATTGATGGCAGAGGAGCTAACTGGTGCACAAGCCCTGGCAGTGTTGGGAGCATTGGAAGATATGGAAAGCAGAAATTCACATCTGATTAAAAGGTTTCTTTTCTGAAATTTATGATGTTGTTTGTTGTCATTCACAAGTACCTATTTTTTTCAAAGGAAAAATGGTTTTCTTCTTTAATCTACCTGTTGTTTTGCAGAAATGAGGAATAAATGCTTAAGGCACTGTTTATCTCTTTATGTTCCACTTTGTTTTTTTTTCTTTTCTTT